TAGGTTTACATTTTAAAAGAGAAAACGAAGGTTGTTGTCACCTTCCAAAATTTTTTGCATCTTCATTTAACTCAATTCAGCTCCCTCAGACCGAAAATGGTCGTGATTTTTTCAACTATATTTTGGGTGAATTCTTGGTGAGTAAAGACATCCTCCACCATGGCTATGTACGATCTCTCCTTAACAAAATGGGGTACCTGAGAGGAAAAATCGTCACCTTCTCGACGTTGCTAGCTCCATTATATTTCAATCCAATGTTCCAAAACAGTTTTGGAACATTGTCATTCTCACTGTCGCTTATCTCATAAATAGTTTCTTTTAAAATTCACAAGTTTTGAACCCCTTAGCTGTCCTGATGTTTTGCATTGTTCAACTTGGACTTGAAGTCATCGAACAAAGGGCGAGGATGTTCGCTAGCTGACCGCTTAAAGGTACATATGGAATGCAAAGGATGTCTGCTAGTTGTCCCCAGACTCAATCTTGGTGAGTAAATCTCTCCAGACAAATAATAAGGCAAATTCTTGGTGAGTAAAAATCTTTCCACTATTGGTCAGCTTGCATTGTTCACCAAGGATTTGCGTCGCCCTTGTTCAATGACTTTAAATCAAAGTTGAACATGATCGACATCTATGCTTCAACTTGAGGGGGAGTATTAGATTATAACGACTATCTCTATGCCGTTATTATTTATTATTTGGTTTTATTCACTGATTATATTTTTTCCTTTTTTATTTGTTTTGTTTTGTTTTCTTTCCTTGTTATTTTAGTATGTTTTTATTTTTTTCCATTATTATGTCTATTGTAATTGAGTTTAAATATCCCTTCGCCTCTCAATAAAATTGTGCTGGTCAATTCCAAATCTCAACACCCTTAAATATCTATTGACCCTAAAATATCAGAGAAGTCAAGTAGATTACGACTCAATGAGTTGTATGATAAAAAGGTGTTGGGAATTAAATTTCAGAACATTAATTGAATCTTGATTATTAGAGAAGCCCAATAGTTTACAATTCAACAAATCACACAGTCACATAGAGATTGAAGCTAAGTGTTATTCAAGTTGACGTCTCATGACTCGTGAAAAGAGAATAAGTTATGAGACTCTCATCCTCTCCGAAAGAAGCCATGCGAAAGTGAGCTAGTAGTACCATTTAGGCACCTGTCGTAGTGTTCAAAAGGTGAGGAGGCCTACAACTGAAAACTTAGGAGGGAGATTGCTCATGTTGGACTCACAATACCCTAGAAGGCATCTGTCTTGATGACTAACGTGAGATAGTGAGACTTACAATGTCAATCATGGTAAGTGCCCTTCTAAGTCTAATACAAGTAATGAAAGCTATGTGAGACTATTCTTCTACTTATCGAAAAGATACTTGCAAAATTACAATTGAATTATGAGAGATTGGGAAGCCAAATGTCACTTTGTACATCCTCTGGACAATGAATGCCTTTAGAATTTAACCAAATGAATTTTAAAATCATTTTGTTAAATCTCAATGCAATGCAAGATGGATTGATTTGTAGAGAGAAAATAGGTCTTATAATATTGCCCTATAAACAAAATAACCCAACATGCATATAGGAATATTTTAGTCAAATGATGATTGCAATATTATCATATTATACACACATACGTGTATCAGGCTGTAACTAACCTAACATTAATCATTGATAGGATTTTGTCAACTAGTTTGTTCAATAACTTAAGCATGTAGCCTTCACTGCGATGCCATATCTAGCACATGGACTTCAATAGCTTCCACTATTTTGAATTATAGTTCATTTTAGTTTTGTTAAATAATTCACCCTACCAGCCTATTCAAATATTTAGAATTTTTCAAACAATTTATATGGAAGCAGTAAATTTCTACTGATTATTAAGAAAGCAGTAATGTAAGGTCATGTACTCGGGTAGGCCAAAAATTGTAAACATCTACAATCCACCTGCTTAGGCTTCTGACCTATAGCATTCTAAGGGCCTTTCCCACAACATTGCAATATGTCACGGTGAGCATCATAAAAGCAATTATTATATAAAATTAGGGTTACTTCTTTGATTCTTTAATATAATACTTTGCAAAAGTTTAATACATACAAAGTTTCATACATCCACATGGCATTATAATATATATCTTAAGGAAAATCTGCAAGGTGTAAAATAAGGGGTACATATGTGCTCAAGTTTATGTATGTATACACGGTAGATGATCTTTGATAATACAGACTACAATATTTTTGTAATATACAAAAAATAAAATTTAATGCGTAATTAGGATATTTAGACTGATATTAATTGATTTTGATTAAATGGCTTAGAATGAATCAGGGAAATGTCGGAAAGTTCTATGAATGAAATTTTAATTTTTTCCTCATTTTAACTCACATTCTTATCTAATATTTATAATTTTATATGATTTTCATGACTAGAAGAGAAGAATTTAGAAATATTTTTAGCATTTTAATGTTTATGAAAAACAACATTATATTGAATTTAAATCAAAGTTGACTGTTTTGTCTAATGTGTGCTTTCAAAAATAAAGTGGGCTTCAATGCTTTTATATTTGTTAAAATGAATTAAACTTGTCACTAAGTTTCTTACATATGATGATTTTAATTATATTCCCTTCAAATCGTCAATGGAATGACCCATAAAAGAAATTGATGATAGCCATTTTGCAAAGGGTGAGACCTATCAGTGTAACGATCCTGAAGGTGACAGCTAAATTGATGATAGCAACAAGCTAGCTTGTTTGCGCCAAGGAGTTTGGTGGCTAGTAAGAGTATGAGTTATTGGGTTCCAACCCAGTGGCTCTGGTGGCATCAAGTATCAAGTTGTCTAAAGTGTAGGCAAAACGTCAGTCTAATAGACCTTGAATTGTTAGTTGGGAGCTCAAGGGTGCAAAGTTGGCAAAAGGTATTAACATTGATGATGATGTCAAGGAGTTCAAGCGATAAGGTGCTATCTTGGATATAGGTACCAACACGTGAAATTGTTGGCAAGATGCACAGGAGACATGCTAGACATTAATTAAGATGTCCAAGGTGCATGAGCAATGATCACAACGAGAAAGTCATCTCTAACAAGATGACAACATGCCATTTTGGGGAGATGACTCACAATATAATAAAATGGTTAGTCATCTCGAAAAGTGATAATGGCAAATCATCCCCAGTCAGGATGACTAGTTTCCCAGGGTAAGGGCACCGACAAGTTACCTTGTGGTAAGACTGCAAGCCATTCCAATCTGGGATGATGACAAATCATACTTACATGGGACGATGAGAAGTCATCCAAAAGTGGGTCGATCGATGACAAGTTGTGGGTTGCAAAGAGACAACAATTAATCCTCTAGGAGATGGCAATTCTCCCTTGAGAGATGTCAGATTGCCTTGTAGAGAGTTGGCAAATTATCATTGAATGGGGCAATGACATGTCATCCTTCAATAGACAACAAATTTTCCTAAAATGGGACTATCATAATTTTCTCTTCAAAAGATAACTAGTTATCCTAAGTGTGAAGGTGAGAAGCCTCATAGTCAACAAATCATCCGAGAATGGGATAATTGCAAGTCAGCTCAAAATGGGACTTCAGAAAAAAATTATCCGGGTGAGGTGGCAAATAATCTTTAGTTGTGGCCACAACAAGTTGTTCCTCAATCTTAAGATAGAAGAGATAACAAAACAATCACTATGACTTTTGACACTTCTTGGGTAAAGGTGCTATCTAGCCTTCTAGACTGAGCGCTAAGATCATCCCATTAGGGATCCAAGGGGTTTCTGAAAAGAGTTATAGTTTTTTTAAGGGATTACCTTTCTCCTTAATGCTATGGGATGGTGGATAATGGAAGGTTCTCCAATAGAGGACTCAACAATGGCCAGGAAAATACACACTCCAAGGAGACTAGAACAATATACAGTAGGCTATACCTGTCGCACAAATTTGAGGGTGTCCAAAGGCTGGTAAATTGTGTTCCTGAGCACTAAAAGGATTTTGTCGGTCAGTTCAAAGTGGGGAGAACAATCAACGCCTCTTTGTTGGTGCCTCCTTGTTTGTTAAGTAGGAAAAAAAGAGAGAATAGCCTTCATGTAAGCTTAGACTCAGTGTATCTAACCTTACAGTTTCCAATATTCATATTACCAACCATGGGAAGAAGCTGAAGGATGGCTTTTAAAGCCCCACGACTTGGCAAGAAAGGATTGTCAAGCACAGCTGGCAACAAAAAACAAATCACTGTGGGAGGATTTCTTGTGCAGAGTGCCCTCAAGGAAGCTTTCCTAATGGTGAAAAAAATCTAGCTTATAGCAATTTCAACAGATTTTCTCACTTTGAAAAGCATACTAGCTAGTTTAAGGCATTAATCCGTAAGTGTTGACTTTGGGATGACATCCGGTGCAGGCAGGTGTCGACCCATAGCTGACAAGAAGAGATGACACTAAAAAGATGGCATCGAACAAGGGAGAGAGCTACATGCCAATAAGAATGTAGGCACCAAGAAGTCGACATCTGGCTCTAGTAAAAGAAGTTTTTGGCCAAGTTTGACAATGTGACTTGACATTGTCTAACTTCCCTAGGCTGTGAGGATCTTAGTTCAGAAATAACTTGATTTTAAGAGCTTTGGCAGTTGCATGAACATTTTCTGGTTTATCCACTCCTGCTTTAACACGGAAAAACAAGTGCTCGTCAATAGATTAATACAATCCTGCAGAATGATTCATTCTACATTTTGAACTCTATTTATGATTTGAGTAGATTGTCTTATGAAGTTGGTCAAATAATATCTTAGCACTGCTTTTCCACTGTGCATTTATAAGTTCTATCCTGACAAAACCAAAGGATGCAAAATAGCTTATCAAGTATTAATTGTAAAATTGTAAGCGAGCAAGTTACACAACTCATGGTGGAGAGCCATTATTATAAACATTTTTTTTTGCCCTCAGAAAACGTTCATTGTTGATCTGTACCTTATAGGTTTGACTTAAATGACTTTTGTTAATGCAGGTTTTTCCGTATTGGAGTGGTTATTCTTGCCCTTCATGATGCATGTGATGTATTTATGGAAGCAGCAAAAGTATTCAAGTATTCTGAGAAGGAGATGGCAGCAAGCCTTGGTTTTGGTTGTTTTGCGATATCTTGGTTTTTCTTAAGACTCGTCTTATTTCCCTTCTGGATGATCAAGTCATCAAGGTCTGAAAGCACCAGCCGATTTTAATTATCTTAATTGTTCTTCTATTTCTCTTAATTTTTTCAGTGGTTGCCTTCATAGCTGCCACGCTGTTGAGCCATTGATCGAGGCTAACTACTTTCCTCGAACATTTTATTATACTTTCAATACCATGCTTTCTACCATTCTGATCTTCCACATCTACTGGTGGAAACTCATATGTGCAATGCTCCTGCGACAGTTTCAAAATCAGGGAAAAGTAGGGGAAGATATCCGTTCAGGTTAGATTTCATCAGTGATTATTTTTCAAGTTTTCTTTTTATTGCATGGATTTTCTCTGTGGTGAATTTATTAGTTAGCAATCTGTCTCAACTATTTTTTCTCTAATTATTAGTTAGCTATTTTCTTAGTTAAATTTATTTATTCTAATCGTCTATTACTATTTCGTTTATAGTGAGTTTAAGATTTGGTTGTAGAGTTCTATTTCGATTTCTTGATATATTTGCTTATGATCAAATTTGTACTTGGAAAGTCTCGTCTACAAATTGTGAAGTCCTTGTTCTCTAGGGGAATTTACATACATACCACCCAATTCCTACTTATTTTTATATTGAACATTTATATCACCCAAATCATTCATATCACATCAAATATACCACTTTTTTAACATTTAAAAAGTGAAATGCATCTTTGAATGCATAGGCAAGGTGGCATATATCTAGAAATTGAAGTTTAGGTGTTAGATATGTTAATACATGGGAATAAAGTATTACGTATGTAAATAGTTTTTTTTTTCTTTATTATCTTCACTGCTCAATAGTATACTCAATTAACCTGCTATCCTTTATTAAATTTAAATACAGATTCTGAAGCTGAGGAATGATCACTGGATAGGATTTCTTCAGTATCGAAGGTAATTGTTGTTAGTGATAAAAGTTGTATCTAGCTTTAGAAAGTTTTATTTTTCAGTTTTTTTAGACTCGCAGAGCTTATTGGCTCAAAAACTCCATTGCTTATACTTTCGTTTAATGTAAAGCATAGTGGTTAGAGCAAATTTTTATAGAGTTTGGCCTGTGCTCAGAAGCCTAGATTTGTAGGCTATTCTTTTTGTAGAAGTTACAGTATATACTTTTTGCTATTCAATTTTATTCTCAAGATCACATTTATGTAACATAATCAAAACTTCATAAAGACAGTAACTTCAAATCGTTTCATGATTAGTGTCAAGACATTGCTACACTGGGTTTAAGAGATTTTTATGAGCATGAACACAATTAGATCATCCTTCCGGAATTCCTTGTTGTTCCTCGTGAGCTAGCTACAAGATAAGATTGATTATTGTTCGAAGATAGAGGATTTGAGAAATCAATGGCATGAAGAACATTAGAGAGTAGTGATATTTGATATAGTGGAATTATCCTAGTTGTAGAGTAAATAGCATGAAGGGAGGGATTAAGGTCAAAGAGAAATTTTATTATTACAAAGCCTTCATTTCATTTTTTTCAAAAAACATGATCAATAGTGGAGATAATGATCGAGCAAATAATGGCATTTTTCTTCTTTTATTATGCTGCAGTACTTTTTGGTTTTGAATTAGCATGTTGTTGTATTAAAAAGAAAAAAAAAATGTTAGAAGATGGAGTATTTAGCCATGTGATATGGTTGTCTTGAAAGAATGCGGAATGGAGAGTTTTGTCTCTTTTAGGTGACATCTTGAAATGGACAATAAAACCGAGGGACGGGAAAATTTATTGTATCAGGTGACCTGATGTAAATTTGCATCAGGTGTCCAATAACAGGATGTCTCGTGGCAACCCGGGCCCGAACCGTGTATGTCAGTGGGCCCAGATTGTCATGTGGCCCCTTATTATTGGACACCTGATGCAAATTTACATCAGGTGTCCTGATTCAACAATTTCTCGAAACGGAGGGTTCAAGACTTTTGAGGAGATCATCACGGACTACATAATGAGAAGCTTGCCATTTTGAGAGCTTGAGGTTGTCATTGCTGTATGGAGGAGCATCGCAATGATTAATTTTGTTATGTGATCCATTTATAAATTCAACATTTATTTAAAATCTTGGTATGTTAATAACAGGTGATACTTAATTCATTATTCCGTATACACCAATTATTAGTTTCAATGTTAATGCCCCCACAAAATAAAATAAAATAATTTATTAAATGCGGGACCTTAAATTCTACATCTCTTCACACACACACACACACACACACACACTATATATATATATATATATATATATAATATTTATGAAAAAATGTATTTCATTTTTTTAAAGTGATAATAGTGTTTCTTTTAATGTGATATTAAATATTTGAGTGCTATGTGTGTAAATATGAATATAGACATGTAAATGCATAAGAATTTTGTGCTATGTAAATGCCCCAAATTCTTAATTATGACTCTGGTAAGTTAAAAACAAAAGTGACCGATTTAAAATTAAGTTCCAAGATTTTTCAGTACCAATTCTTTAATTTAAACATCTGTTTAATTATTAATTGCCATTTTTTATCTATGCATTTATTTATTTAACATTTGTTTGAAAATATTTATCAAGATTTATGATGCATGCATGTGTATATACTGTGTTTGCTTTATATAATTATAAAATGAGTTTATCAATAGGACCAAATTAAGTCACATTTCAATTGAATTATCATTAAAATAATTGTCGGATGATCTGCAAATTCTGACTTGATCATCAGTCTGCAGCTGGCACACAGACCTTGTTTAAAATCCATTAAAATCAATAATGAATTAAAATTAAAATCGCAGGGGAAAAATAAAAACTAGATTTCCTAAGTTAGATTTAATTGAAATGCCCTTAAATGGTGTAAAATAATACTTTTCTCCTCCCAACGCAATCTATTTATAGATTTGCAATATTCAAATAAATCCAATTTCTTCTAAAATAAATTTAATACAAGACTGACCAATTAAAATAAAACTAACTTTATACCTCTCATTTCATATCAACTTTAGGGACTTCTTTATTTGTTCTCAAAAAAGATTGACAGAAAATAATGAAAAAATATTGTATACGGAGTCCGGACACAAGCTAATTATGGGCAACGATACGATACACCACGAAAGGTTTTTTTTTCCCTCATCCGCTTCGTATGGCGCATCACATCTGTTGTCCAGACAGTTTTGCGTCCGGACAAAATATTTTTTCGTAAATCGAATTAAGGCACTAACTCTGCCCGAAAAAAGAAAAAGCAAAATAAGCTTCATAATTTATAGAATATGTCAAGCTAATTAGATCAAAAGTGTAGTTTGCGTCGAACAATGACTCTGTAGACTTGACTAGTAACCTAGACAAGCTTCAAAATTATAGCAACGTTTAAATCCCCTCCATTGCCTATAAATTACTATCATTATCATCTGCCTTAATGACAACCATTCAATAGAATCAAACTTTAGATCAGATCAGATCAAGCTTTCATGAATGAAAGAAGAATATCTATTGATTCAGATAGCTTCAATTCATATAAACCAACATATATATACAGCAACATTAGATGTGCATTAACACATGCAGTAATGGTATGCTTAGCTTCTTCTTAAGAGCTAAAAACAATATCCATAAACCATAATTAAGATTCAAAATAAAAGTGAGAAGACTACAGACATTAAATCACTAATCAACGTTACGCATTATGCATTATGTATCATCCGCATCGCTTCCGCTGACCTGAGATTCAAGGTTCGTCAAATACTGGCCTCCGTCTGGACCCGATACCATATACCTGTTTCAGGGATGATTAGTTGTTAACATTGACAAATATATTTAAAGGAAAATTTACATGCATACATACCACACAATTCTTATGTGTTTACATATCTAACATCTAAATTTTTACATCCATAACTTAATAACAGTTTGGTGTTATAAAACAATACATGTAAAGGTGTATTTCACTTTTAAAAACATGCATGCAAATTTGACTGTTTATGTATTTATGTATTATACATAAATACATAAAAACTGTGTGGTATGCATGTAAATGCCCCTATATTTAAACATGTACTTTCTATGCTTTCTTATTAATGAACAGGGAGATTTACATACATACCGCCCAATTCCGATGTGTTAACAAATCAACCCACCCTTACTCCAATTTTTACATAGAAACCACCAAACGTATGTTGAAAACATAGAAATCGAGTGGTCTTTATGTAAAATTTGAAGTTTGGATGTTTTATATGTTAATATGTAGGAATTGGGTGGTAGTTATCTGAGGGCCCCTAAAGAATAGTATATTTTTCAATACCTTTCAAGAATAAACTTTCCTTCTTTGTACTTTTGGTTCTTCTCATAGGCAGCTTCCTGTAGGAAAGAAACGTGGACCATGTAGAGTTAATGTTACAGGACAGATAAAATTACTGTAATTTATCCAAATCCGTTCCTTACATATTTCCAACCCACTATGGAACCACAACGAACACAAAAGATGTCAGAAACAGTATGCATGCCGGTCATCATCAACCGTTCCTCCTTCTGCCCCATAGTTATATTGACACTACAAATCATTGAATTAAGTTAAATATAAAATTAAAAAAAAAGGATCTCTTTGAGGTGACTGCAGCTTTTTGTAAAGGCGATTGTTAAGCTTTTTGTGAAGAAAACAACTTTTTGAAAAAAAAATAATAATAATAAGTTGAACAGCAATTTTCTTACAAGCATCTGGTTATTAAAAACAACTTCCGGTCATAAAGATTTCTAAAAATAGTAAGAAAGCAACAGCCAAGCGGGGTTGCCTTGCAACAACTTTAGTAAATCCTGTAAATCTAGATGTACTAAATCCAAGTCGGATTTACTAAATCCTGAAATCACTAGGATTTAGTACATCTGAGATTTAAGACAAAATTAAGTGGAACTGAGAAGAAACTGGATTTACTGAATCCAGAATTTAAAATTTGCCTTTTTTTTTTCTATCCGGCAAATTTATGTTGAATCCCACTTGAATCTGTTACCAGATAGCCCCTTAGATAGCAGATGTCTACAATTGGACTCCATATTAGTAAGAACACATTTTAGGTCATGAAATAAGCTCTTCCGGCCACAATTGATTGGTATCACTGAAAAAGTAGAAAGCTGGACTCTACCAGTCATGGCCTTCGGTATAACCATAAGGCATAAGAAGATTATGCGTGCTAATATTAAAAAAAATACATTATAAGCTATTGAAAGTACTGACAGAAACAAATCAGAATATTTTCGCATGATAATAAAATAATCAACAAACTGCAGGAAGATATAGCCTTTAGAAAATAAAAAAAGAGAAAATGTTGAAATAAAAATGTACAGCTAGGATAAAGTAATACACTAAAACTCAGAGCTATATAAGAATACATATAAATTGATGAGTGAGTTGATGAAGTAGCGATAAACAATGCATATCTACTGTTGCTTAACAAAATAATCCAAGATTCAAAATCACCAACCTAAAAAACACAGATTCAAGCTGGCGGCTATTTTCTTTCCACCTTCCAATTTCGGTTGATGACTACGGCGAGTGGAAATCGTTCTTATTTATTATTCAATTGAAATCATATATTACATATTTATAGACACTCTTCTCTACGGATTAGAAATGAAGCTAATATAGAAAAGAGATAAAATTAAATCTCTTCTAATTATGTTACCCAATAAACAAACTTCCTAATATACAAGCTATACAAGCTTTATATTTAGCAATTTCCATAGCACTCTCCCTCAAGCTGGAGCATAGATATTTATCATGCCCAACTTGTTAAAAATATAAATGACTCTCACTCTATTAAGGACCTTTGTGAAGATGTCCCTAATTGTTCCAAAGCCTTTACATGAGCTGTAGAAATTAAATTTTATTGAATCTTTTTACGAACAAGATGACAAACTATCTCAATATGCTTTGTTCGTTCAATGAAGACAAGGTTTCAAACAATATGAATTGCAGTTTAATTATCACACCATAATTTTGTTGTAGTGGCCATCATAAAACCCATTTAGTCAGGAATTGGAAGACCCGCATCAATTCACTGGAAGCTTGTATCATTGCTCAATACTCAGAATATGCTCGTGACACTACATTTTGTTTCTTACTCTTCCATGAGACCAAATTACCACTCACAAACACAATATCCACAAATGGACCTTCAATACATCTTGGAACTCGCCCAATCTGCTTTAGAGAAGCATTCAATATTTTTATGCCCATGATTATGATATAAAATCCTTTTTTCATGAGCTCCTTTAAAGTAACACAACATTTGTTCCAGAGCTAACCAATGACGCACTGTGGGGAAAGACATGAATACGTAATGTCAGGACAAGTCACTATGACGTAGTTTAATGAACCAACTAATTGCCTATATCGTTCAAGATCATTAAAAATATATTCATCCTTGGTAAGTTGTTAATTATAACCCATCGTAACACTGCATGACTTGGCCCCAAATTTTCATGTTTATGCTAACAAATCCAAAACATACTTCCATTGAGATAAAAAGATACACTTTATGATCCTTGATACCTGAATCTCTAAGAAGTACTTGAAGTAACCTAAATCTTTAGTGCTCCGATAATAAAAATATCATCAACATAAACCACAAATAGAAATGATTTCTGAAATAGATTGCTTATATAATATAGTATGACCACTTTTACTTTTCTGCATCTCAAACCCTTTTACTGATTTGCTAAATTTTTCATACCATGCTTGACAGTTTTGCTTCAATCTATAGAAGGACTTCCGAAAACGACAAATTTTCCAAAACTCCTCCTAAACAACAAACCCAAGAGATTGCTCCAGGTATACCCCTAACAACAAATCACCATGCAAAAAAACATTCTTCACACCCAACTGATGAAAGGGGCCAATTATTCATTGCGCCTAAAGACAGGAAAAAACGAACCGAAGTTAATTTTGCTACCAGAGAGAATGCGTCCAAGTAGTCGATTCCATAAGTTTGAGCATAACCTTTAGCCACTAATCAAGCTTTGAGATGAGTTACAAATCCATCAAAGTGAAACTTAAATACAAAGACCAGCTTAAAACTAACAATTTTCTTGTCATAAGGTAGTTCAACTAGTTCCCAATTTCCATTTTCAATTAATGTATTCATCTTATCAAGCATCGTTGTCCACCACACATAATGAGATAGTGCTTGCAAATTAGATTTTGGAACCTCAACAGAGTCAATAAAAGCAAGTAGTCTATTCCATAAGTTTGAGCATAACTATTAGCCACTAATCAAGCTTTGAGATGAGTTACAAATCCATCAAAGTAAAACTTAAATACAAAGACCAGCTTAAAACTAACAATTTTCTTGTCATAAGGTAGTTCAACTAGTTCCCAAGTTTCATTTTCAATTAATGCATTCATCTCATCAAGCATCGTTGTCCACCACACATAATGAGATAGTGCTTGCAAATTAGATTTTGGAACCTCAATAGAGTCAATAAAAGCAACAAATGAACACGAAGTGGAAGATAAATGATTATAGTTAACACAAGGGTAAATGGGATAAGCGCACTAAAATTTCTCTCTCTGAAGAGTAATAGGTAAATTAAGATCGTTGGGAAGAGGATCCACTGAGGAAAATAATACCGATCCCAGACTAGGATCAAGGGAGTGAGACCTCAAGTAAGCATTAGTGATAGGTGATTTGGGCTGAGGCATTAGAGATGGAGATGGTGATAGAGATGGAGCAGGATCTGAATTTATAATGTGATATATGAACAACTCATTAAAATCAGGTGAGAATTTGGATACTGATGAGTCACCAAAGAATGAAGTTTGTTCATAAAAAGTGATATCAACAGAAATCATGTACTTGTTTAAGAGGGAAAAAATATCGACACCCTTTTCACAGCAAAAATATCCTAGAAAGACATCTTAATGAATTGGGATAAAATTTAAACACTTGTGGAAGAGTATCACGAACAAAACAAGTACAACCAAATATGCATAGTTCAATAGGAAGAGAGTTAGCTAAAAAATACACTGGGTAGGGTGTCTAGTTATGTGGGACAGTCAAAGACATCCCAATTGATCAAAAAATGTGTAGTTGAGATTGCATCAACCCATAACTATTTAAGGACATTCATTTGAAACAAATAGGCTTCAGCTGTCTCAAGATGTCTATTTTTTTCTTTTAGCTACTGTATCTTGGGATGGAATATTGACATTAATGAAGTATCCCATTTGGTGTCATGTGTCTAAAAAGGTGCATAGAAATATTTTTTTGGCATTATCACCTCTCAAAATCTTAACAAAAATATTGAATTAAGTTTTAATTTTAGCGCAAAAAAATTGAAAGTATGACAATAATTAAAACGAAATCTCACAAAGCTGTACTAGAAAAATAATACACAAAAAAGAAAATATCGAAATCTATTAGATAAAATAGAACAAGTTTCTCATACATCAGAATGAACTAACTGAAAATTATGATCGACTCTTTTAATAATTCTAGAAACATAAGATAAACGATGGTGCTTAATAAATCAACACGACTCACAATCTAAAAGGTAATAATTATTGAATTTGATGATACAACATTTTCAACATTGATAGTGATGTGTGTTATAATCGATAACGGATCTCAAAAGGAGATAAGGTGTCGGAAAATGCTACAAGTCGATGTACTTCCTTATCCACAATGCATACCCCCTAATTCTCGTCCTTCATCAATAATCTTATATGTCAAAAGATCCTAAAATAGACAGTGGCAAAATACAACAACTAAGAGCACGTGCGATTTTGCTAGCAAAAACAATATTAAAAGTGAATCAAGGTAAACTGAGAACAAAAATTAGAGGTAGTGTAGGGTGTAAAATTGATGGTGTCATCAAGAATATTAGAGGTAGAGACATCCGCTAAAACGACGGCAAAAATGTGCTTATGAAAAGTATAAAGACTTTTGGATTACCTGTTATGCGATATGCAACACCAGAATTAATGAACAAATGTGTGAAAGAAAAAAAAAGGTTAGAATCATTGTTACTTGGCATAGCAAGAGTGGTGATAGATGGGAATTTCCTGGATGATTCCTAAAATTTGATGAATTTAGCATATTCATATGAGTCACATACCCCTCAGGTTTGAATCCCCTCTAGCACAGTTGGTTTTAAAAAGGTGATACTCGAATTGTTAGACACATTAGAGGTGGTTGGAGACTCATATAATAGCCTCTGACCATTCCTTTAATATATATATATATATATATAGATCGAGAGAGTCTGACTTTGAGAGACCTCATTAGTACTAACCATATGAGATGACTGTGATTTAGAACCCTTCTAGTTCTTTTTGAGCAACTTCTGACACGTTCTCTTCGTTTGAGTAGGTTCATGATAGTAATAGCACACTATCTTCGATCCTAAATTTCCCAAATTTGGAGTTCCACTTCTGTAATTGTCCTAAGACTGAGGTTTGTTAATATCTATATTTTTATGATTAGCAAGAGCACTTGGTTGTTGTACATAGAGGCTTAAGAACTCAGACTTATATGCAATACTCTGGTATAAGCTTCC